CCACAAAATCCAATGCACGAGTTGTAGCACACTGGGGAACTTCTTCCAGTAAGCAATTCAGAGGTGGTTAGGGTACATTGTTGGTGAGATATAAGTTGTGATACACTCTACGACAAGGGTCAGTATCCGTTCCACCATTACTCTGCTTGCGACTTATGTTGATCACCGTGGCCCTTGGAATCAACGGGCAAAAGCTCAGTGTTTCTATCCTTTAGCGTTATAGTAGACCGCTAAACTTCCGAGTTTCGACAAAAAGTAAAAGCTCGAAGTTGTTCGCCAGTGGGGAATGATAAGGGCCACCAACAGGCGGATATGTGAAAACTCAACGGAAGTGTTATGATGTAAGCACATTTCACTATGATTTCGATATTGACCGCTTTCAACCGCTAAGCCGTTCTATCGCCAACGAATGATGAGGGTTTATAGAAATCTGATAAACACATTGGCAATCGCTCATTAAAGAGGAGAAATATGGAAATATCATGAAATGGGCCGAGTTTTGAAACATAGGAATTAGGCCAAGTGTTGGGGGTCAACACAGAAATCCTTTCATAGATCAGTACTACAGACTGAACCATTCGCGCAGTAGTGCGCGTCAGCCAAACTGTATACAAAAATACCGCGATTCTGAATGTAAGTAGAATGCGTGCCGCGACCCGAACGGAATTGGTCAAAGGCGACACTTTGAATTTTTATGCTTAATTTGCTTCTGATCTCTTTTAGATTTCACCATTTTTCCATTTTTCCTGTAGAGCCTACATCTACACGTCCGGGTAATCCAGTGCTGGAGTTGAACGAAAGTTTACATGAGTTATGGGCAAAGTCAGATCCCAGGCGGGACTCGAACCTGCCCCACACACTTACCGGGCGAGTGCACTATCCACTGTGCCATCAGAGCCACTCTTACCCATGCAGCTTTATACCTTTCCAAAGCGCGAACTACCGCAGAACATTCATAATAAACATCTTCAGACCATTCAAATGTCCTAGCAATCACTGATGGTAGTAGTGTGCGTGGCGCATCCTCAAAAATGCCTATGAAGGTAGGGTGCTTTATCGCTTGATTCAGCATCTTTACGAATCGTCAACCAAACCAATAAAATCTGGCTATAGCGTCTCGCTTTCGGCATGTTCCGCTGAGCTTGATTCATTGATGAGAGAAGTCTTTTCAGTCCGTCTCGTGCGCATTAAAATTCTAGTGAATTGCGTGCGATCTCAGACGGGGCATTTGTGGTCGTTGTTGTGTTCGTAAGCCTTTTCCGCCACATAATCGTAGCCCGTCAACGGAAACGTGGAGCATTGACTGTGGTAAATGACGTTTACTCAATTCCACAACAATTCACATCCGTCCATCAAATGTTGTTCAATTGTAATTGAGTTATTGCTTTGTCGTGGCGTGTGTATGTGTATGTGTGTGTGTGGCCCAGACACATCAACGTTGCACTTCAAGTTTCCCAGCCGTCGGAATCTCTGGAGAATACGACGACCTCCTCGGCGCATGGAAATGGAGTAGATAGGACTTACTAGGTGTGGCCATGGCCACCCGCTTCATTCATCTTCCCTTGACAGCGCTCATTGCTCAGGCGCTATTCTTTCATAGAGTGCTGGTAACAGGGCACGCGAGGACTTTCCAACGGAGGTCGTATTAGGTCGCTGTTGGGGAGGAGGGGTCGTTTAGTCTGGCAGGAAGTTTGAATGATGAATTTCGCGCGATGGCGCTCATTGTTCAAGCGCTCTTCTTTTCGATGAGTGCTGGTAACAGGTCACATAAGGATCCCCCAGCGAAGAGAGTGGGGTCGCTGTAAAAGAGGACGCAAAAGCAAAATGCCCCCTCCAATCCGATCAGCGCAGAACGTTGTCTCATTGTTTGAGAGCTATTCTTTTTGTAGAGTGTGGTAACAGGGCACGACTTACATAAGGATTCCCGGGCGCAGGAAAGTAGCGGGTCGAATTTGGTAGCTGTAGGGGAACAGGGGATCGTAGTAGTGTGGCAGAAATTTTGGGATCAATGATTTTTCTCATTTCAGCCCCTCCCCTTGTCAAATAATTCTACTACTTGCGATAGTTGATTGGTGAGTACCTCCCCACTTCCTTGACGGACCTGTTGAGGGGGGGGGGTGGAGAATCGTGTGCTAAAAAATGGATCAGTGGTCACGGTCAGTGATCAGTGAAGACCTCCTCACTCCTCTCGAGAAACCTGTTGGAGGAGGGGATCGCATACAGAGAATTGTTAATGGTTACGGGCAACGCCACCAATCAGTCAAGCTTTTCCATCTCAGTTTATAAGAAACACTACTCATGTTCAGGAAAACGACGCAGTTCAGCTTAGAGGGGGCATTTTGCTGGTTCTCACCAATCACGAGAGTGATTTTAGTGAAGACCTGTGAAGTCCAGTAGCCATGCAATAGTGGGAGCTCCGTTCACGCTCAACAAGAGCCTACAAATCTCACTGAGATGAAACGTGTAATTAGATAGGATTTAGTAGAAGAACCTGCGAAAGAGCAACATGCCCCTCCCAAGCTGAACAGGGCCGAAAATTGTTTCCTGACACAAGGACGTCCCATGGCTTCTGAACTGCGAACGCATCAGTAAGCCTCCCAGGCATGATAGATCGCCCCTGCTGACACCTCTGAACGTCTCCCTTGGTGAACCTTTTCCGCGGAAACGTTTCGGAGCTAAAGAAAAGCTTCTGTGAAAGAGCTCATCAGAAGAGGTTGAATAGTCTAATCACAGACGACTTGAAACGACAACGACACAGAAAAGCCTCTTCAGAGCAAATCTGCTTGGGACACACACGCACAAATGCAGCTAATTAGCGATGCCAATTAACATTTGGCTGGCTGCTATTAGGCGACGAGAACGAAATCGGATACGCTCAATCGAGATGTGTCAGCAAAGCCTAAAAAAACCCCGGCTGCAGTTGAACTAATCATGCTCGCGTCGCTCTCACAGCGCCACAACCAACACTTAAGTTCGTCTAGTCGTTAGCCGTTTTGCCACTTGGCAGCTGCCGCGCAGGCATCAGCAACAGCAACCGCTCCCAGAGCAACTTTAACTAATATTTCCGAAACGGGTATAGAGTACGCCGGCGCCTTCGTCGGCCGTTAGGGGCGTGGCTGCGGCTAGTAATTGGTGGAGATGAAGGAGGAACCGGCCACAAGCGCCGCCCCACCCTTCCCCTCACGGAATCAATGGAAAGGAGGTCGATTTGAGCTGGCTTGAAACGCACCGGCGAATGTATTACATCACTTTCCTACTATTGCTGCTAATCGTCGGTTGCGCATGCAATGCAAGGTGAGCCAATATGACCGAGAGAAATAGTTCTAACCAGAGATAGAGAGATAGGGACCTTGTATGACGCGTGTGAGAGAGAGTCCTTAAGAGAGGAAGAGAGTTAGAGAGGATTTTTTTCAGGTAAGTCAATCCTCAATACCTTTGCTTCAGCTATCTCCTTTTTTAAGCTTTCAAAGACTAAGGGCGGATTCCGCCCTATTTCTAGTTAGAGGTAGCCTATCTCACAGGCAAAAGTCTGAGAGTGCACGACTCTCTCTCACAATCTCTTCGTGAGAGACGCAGAGAAGCAAAGACACGAAAAACTAGCGATTTGTCATTTTTTTTCTTCTCCTACAGGCGAACCAGATTAATGAGAGGGTGTGGCAAGTGTGCCACTAAAAATGTTCACTTATGCCTCTTAACCATCCCATTTGTCGACGATTCTTTCTATTTTGAAAAGTTTCCGTGCACCTTGCATAGTTATCGATTTCCTGCACGACTTATCAGATACTTGTGCTCTGGAAAACTGAAATATCTTCAGGAAGGCGGCTATCCTATTGAACCACCATATCTTTTTTACCACAATATCTATTTCCAGAAAATGCTCACTAATGCCTTTTCGCTAATCCAGCCCATTTTTCGACGACTCTTTCTGTTCTGAAAAGTAATCGTGCACTTTTCACAGTTATTGATTTCTTGCACTGTTTATCAGATGCTTTTACTCAGGAAAACTGAAAGATATCATAAGAACGGGTATCCTATTCAATTCACAATAATTTTCTGTCTGAAAATGCTCACTTATGTCTCTTTATCATTCCAGCACATTTTTCGACCGTTTTTTTTTGTTTTAAAAGGTTTTCGTGCACTTTTCCACTCAGCGATATCCTACAATTTTCATCCATAGTTCACCCACCTAAGGAAAACTGAAAGAGCTTCAGGGGAGCGGTTATCCTATTCAATTCACGATTGCCTTTTGCCCGAGAATGCTCTCGTGCTCTCCACCAGACCCGTCGTACCTACGAGATCTCCGAGAGGGGGTCGTAAATGGTCGCTAGGGGGAGGGGGGGGCTATTTGGCCACAGAAAATTTTTTTTGGTAGTTGATTGTTCATATTTCATGGACGCTATAAGGGTGGGAGTCGAATTTTTCGAAAATTTTCCCAGGCAGCACATGCCTTGCTTTTCACCACTTCAACCCATTTTCGAGGGGTCTTTTTGTTTTGGAGGGTTTTCGTGCACTTTTCACGGTTATCGATTCCTTGCACTATTTATCAGATATGCCTTCTCAAAAAAGCTAGAATTTTTCCAGGAGAAAGAACGATCTCATTCGCTTCACGGTTCCTTTTTCTGGATTCTGCACTCTTAAGCTCTCCCTTTAAGAAAAGAAAAAAGAGAGAAAGGGATTTTTTTTCTCTGGGAGCTCAAGAGCATGCGAAACAGAGAGGAGGAGCAGAGAATCCCTCATACCCCTTGGGACGGGATTTTTCTTGAAAACGTCCGAAAGATTCGCAACATTTGTCCCGTGGTGTGAAAAATTTAAGATTTTCTCTTAAAATGACGAATCTAGGAATAGAGAGCGGGAGTCGCAGAGAAGTCTCTGAATTCCCTTGAGACAATATTTTACCCGGCCTTCATCGATTTCCCCATACTTGTTGAGGATTCTCCGACCTTTTTCATTTTCATCGTTTTTTCTCCGCCTAGAATTCTCATATCCTTCATTTCTGCAGAAGATCCGTCTATCGACGGAATTCCCGAACACTCCGCCGTTTAAGCCGAAACTACGACTGGGAAGTGGACGAACACGGCGGTTTACGGCCGATCATCAATCCAGCTAAGGTTAGGGTGTGCCTTTGATTTGCCCGGAAAACCAGGCACTTTTCTTGCTGTTCATCTGAAAATGATCACCCAGGAATTCCGAATCGCTTTAGGTGGAACGAGCGACAAAGGAATGCGCTAACGATTCCTATATACTCAGTACAATTATGCATAACTATAATAGGCATAAAATTCCCGGTGGACAGGTAAAATTTCCGAATTTCTTTTTTGGCTCATTTTTGTTTCCTTCAAGAAAAAAATTCCTTTTTTACCACACAGGTCGAAGTTAAAGTCGAAGTATGGGTTCAGGAAATCACTACGATTTCTGATATTACGAGTGACTTCCAGGTAAGGATTACTGTTTTTTTATCCTCGAACTAAAATCGAAATCCAAAACTAAAAAAAATAAAAGCAAATCATTGAATGGTGAAAAATCCAAATGTTTAGCTCGAGTATGGAAATGAATTTTTGTTTATTTTTTGCTCACATTTTTTGTATATACATTTCGTTCTTTTACCTCCTTGAAGAACTCCCGTTGTGATGTAACGAATAAATGAAAAAACAGTTGGACAAAATACGAAAAAAATGAAGCTTTGAAAAGTTTAGCTTGAATCCGACAACTGAGTTCAACAGTTTTGAATTTTTTTTACTTTTTATTTTTTTCATTTGTGAAATTTTTTACGTTGGATTTTTTGTCGGTTTCTTTCAACGCTTTCTCCAAATTTGATCCCTAAATTTCATAAGTCTGAACATTAAAGTAGTCAGAAATAAAAAATAAATTATTAAAAAAAGTTTTAGAGAGAAAATGAAGCTTTTATCTGCGGATGAATTCTATTAGAAAATTTTTCGATATTCCTTCAGTTTTGTTCAAATTTGCTTCGACTCAGAAAACACATTCATTGAATAAATTAAGCGACATAAATAAAATAACACTAAAATAACAGAAAATATGATTTTTATGGAATTGACATCTTCGACTTTTTGCGCTCTTGCCCTTTGTTATAAAATTGAATCTTCTGATTTTCTCGTTAAATGTTTCTATCGCATTTCAGGGGCAAAGGAATACCCGAGAAAAAGCATATCCCTTCTTTTCTACTGGTTTTGAACGGGGTAACGGGCGAAACGGATCATCTGTGCTTTGGAGTGTATTCCTTTCGCCAATATTTGTTTCTCTTTGCTTCTAATTTGAATTCCTTCTTGCCCCCCCCCCAAGGGACACCTTTTCCTTATCAGTCTTTTCCATATTTTCACCTTGTATTTTGTACCTTGTATTTTCACCTTGCATCCAAAAACACTTTTTGTAGAAAATTACAATTTTTCTTTCCTCTATGAATTTTCCCGCTGCTACGGTGTTCTGATTCCCGCCGAGTTTTTTTTTCCAGATTTATCATTTTTATATGCAGCTAGAAATATCTTAGGGTTTTGCTTTATAGGGAATCCCCGATTTTTTTGCCATTTCTTCAGCTACTTCAAAAGGCTGTTTTTGCGGCTCGCGTCAAGTTTTTAAGGCGTCAATCGACCACTTGAGTGAAGTGGTACTTACCGGAACCTAGATCGATTCTTCTACACCATTTCTAACTTTCGTAGAGTGAGATGTTCGGAACTGCCTTCGTTCGACCTCTGTGGGACTAAGCGTCCGTTCCTGCACAGCTCATTACTCCACCCTGAACTTCATCGTAAAAGGACTGATCGAGGGACCATCGAAAGCCATACTTTACGCTGACAGCATCACTATCGGGGATAGCAAAGCAGAGCTCTAGGACTACACGTAAGAAGGGCAGCAAGGGCTTAGGTAAAGCTTGTATTACTGTAGTTGGGACAACTCCACCGAGGCACGCGCCGCCTGCTTTGTCGACGGAGGGGCATTCTGTCATTATTCATTGTTCCGCTAGTTCCGCGTTTACAAATCTCACCTCTTGGTAAAACTTGTTACTCTTTGAAGCAGAAGTAAGCATCATGCTAGCGCACTATTCTAAAGATGTCTCGACTCCGAGAAATCGGCTGCCTAGATGGGTCGACGCATCTATGGAAAGCAAAAGGCCCCCTCGTCGACAAACTGCCCCCGCCCGAGACAGTAGAGATTCTCCAGGCACCGGGCAGCAACCTAGTCGTTCATGGGAGATCTTAAGCCGGAATAAAGGGTCGAAAAACGGGAAATTGGTTAAACGAAAACGGAAATGGGTTAAAGGAAATGCTTCAGTGGTATCCTCCGTCATCAATGATGCTCAAGATGCAGGGTCGGACGCTGGTCAGGTAAGATGCTCTAGCAGCTAGCGCCGACCCGTTGCAGGAATTGTTGAAGTTCGTTTTATTCCGCTAAAATGAGGATGCTCAGGTGGTCTCAAATACAGCAGAACAAGGTTAAAGAAAGGCTGGAAAAGAAGGCTCAGGATGTCCCTTGTCTACTACATAGCTTAAGACTAGTCAATACGATATACTGACTGGCTCAGGACAGGAGGGAAGACTTCGAAAATGGCCTCACTAAAACCAAGGCCTTTGTAAAAGACGCCTCGAGGCGGAGGATATGAGGCTAATTTAGCAGAGCAGAAGCCTCCAATAGCGGGCCAACGGATTCGCAGCTCATAAGCCAAGCATATTTCGGATGGCACAGATTTTTATCCCATTCACTTTACCGCTTATTTTATTTTTTTCGCATTCACAACTTGCTTATCTGTAGTTACTCCGAGGCGGTAATCGATTTTACGGGGTGGCCCTTGACGAGATCCTTCAATAAGGCTTGCCTTGCCCTCAAGAGCATTCCCTGGATTGTTATTTCTCCTTTCTGTCAACCAGTTTTCTCTTTTAGAGCGACTTGTATTGAAAACTATAATTCCTGTAGTCCTACTTAGAGGTGCCAGGCCACCGCCAATTGCACACGCTCTCAAGAACCTCTTCACCGCAGTTTCACGTTCACGATTCTCAATTTTACATTTACCTTACTTGAAGACGACGGAAATATTTTGCCGTTTATCATGATATATATATTGATTTACAGCGGCTGCAGCAACAAATTTTCCGCGGCCGTATGAACATAAACAAGTATTACCAGTGGAAGACCTGTTTGCTTACCCTGAATTTTCAGAGCCACCTCTGACAAATAAATAAATTAAATAAATAATAAATAAATAACATAAATAAATAAATAAACAGATGGGGCAAATAAGTAAAATTCTCATTTTGCGGCGCCTCTGCGGTCACAGTATGTCAAGTGTCTCTACAAGGTGCTCTGTACAAGCTTAGTGAGTACCACTGGTCCCCCCCCCCTTAGGCCGAATGTACCCGAAATTTCTGGTTATTTTGTTACAATAGGACCACTGAGCTTGAGCACATACTTAAATGAAAACGCTTAGTATCGGTGTTTATCGACCTTTTTGGATACGCCACGCATTCGACTTCCATTTCGTATCGTCGCGAGTCAGTGGATGTTCTCTTTGGGAAGAGACCACTCACAGACGAGGCCTCATCACGTCATGTTATAACTCGACCAAAATAAATAAATAAATATAAGGAACTGGAACATTTGGGCTGTCGCAGTGAGATGAAGCAAACTAGCAGACATGACGGGCTTAGGCTTCCTGGAGAATAGCGACGATTACTGATAGGGGTCCGGTCAATGGGTCAAATTCTGCAAGTCTTGCCAGAAAATTGGGATTTCGCTGATTTTGCTGAGGTGCTGGGATTACTTTGATCTTACTCGAATTCAAAATCCTCAGCAAAAATGCAGCAAAATTTTGTCGAAACAATTTATCCTTGGAAAATTTTTCAGAAACTGTACAAGATTTGCTATTAGCAGAGAATTTGAACTCAACTGCAATTCACATGATATCAAAAAACGGCCCTAGGAAGTATTCGAAATTCCCGATTTCAGTTGGACATCTACATCTCTGAAATGTGGTTGGATCCGGCACTTGTTTATTCGACAATGAATCCGTGTAAATACAATTTATCGTTGAATAGTGTATTATTGGAGAAATTATGGACGCCGAATTCGTGCTTTATCAATTCGAAAACTGCCGAAATTCACAAAAGTCCATTTCCGAACATCTTTTTGATGATCTACGCAAACGGTTCCGGTAAGTTCCGCTCACTAACGTTCCTTTTCTGCTTATTACTTTGTGTTTTGAAGTATCCTGAATTCTAATTCTGATTCTACACTCATGACATACATGCGCACTCATACATTTTTCTCTCTGCAACGTCTGATTTCATTTATTTGGCGTTTTTTCCATGTTTCTAATACTAGACCACGTGACACAAAACAAATATATTTAATTTAGAACTAAAAGAACAGAAGAGATTCCTAACTGCTAACCCTACCTCGTGACGGGTAGACTGGGGGGGGTCATTCTTGTTTGGAATATCAGGAACATATGAGGGACCTTACTGAGGGAGGAAATACATAGCCCTCAGTGTTACCCTGCGCATTTACAGCTGGAAAAAAAGAACGCATTCCAAGTTCCCACGACAAATTCTACTCTCCCCTCCCCTTCCCTACCAGGGAAAAACGTACACCACTCTCCCCTTTCCGACGCTTTCCAGAACTCGACAAAATTCTTCTCAAAATGCCATTTATGTACGAGTTCTTAAAGTGAGAGGGAACTTTTCTGAATCGAACAGCTTACCCCACGAAAATTTATCACAAGGGCTTTCTCCAGAAAACTAAAGAATAGAGGTGACGGAAAAATGAAAAATCGAATTTTGCCGCAACGAGTCCCGCATGTCGTTGTGAATTCCGCTTACACATTGGAAAGCCTCCCGAATTCGGTTTACAAGTGGGGCGAATCTCGAGGAAATTTATCAGGGCTAAATACTTTATTGGCTTATTCCAGTAAATAGTCCTGATTGTATGGATGGAAAAACTGTGTGATGTTTCTTCTCTACGCAGTGAAAGATAAGGCTGCACCAAGCAGGGAAGCCGCCATGCCGTTGACTCTCTCCCCCCCCCATATGGATCAGCGCAGACCTGGAGTGGTTTTCCCTTCATATGCATGGTAAATTTATACACAAATGTGGCTTCAGCTCATTCGGTCGTGTAGATTACGGATATATTAGGTTGTCCCAAAAGTTCTGGGACACTTTTTGAATCTCGTATCAGATTTTTCCGCAGCCATTTCGAGATCCAGTTATGTGGTCTATGGGAAGTGTGTGAGGTAAGCATTCCACAGCTTCTTCACCGTCCCTCGCAGTCGCTGTTCTCATATGAAAAACGGTAATTGAAATTCATCATTTTCGACACACTTCGCTATATGAATCTCTACCAAGCCACAACGTGGTTGGAGCCATAAGCGGCATTTCCCTTATTTAGATCTTGATGTTAGCTTCCACAGTACGGCTTTGGAATGGCTCAATTGCTTCTGCTTTAGTGACTTCTATCCGGGTGAAAAACTTCGTCCAAGGAGGCCACCTGCCTTGGATTTGGACCTACTGTGTTCCTTGATTAAAACCAATACGTACAAATCAACTTGCTATCTAGTCCTTACACTTGACTGGTCCCAAAGCACAAATGAGAGAAGGCCTCGCTCCCTTAGAAAAGTTATGAAGTTCGATCAAAATTTTTCTCATGAGTTGACCAGTACTCCAAGGGGAGCACATGTGGGTACTGTCTACAACTTCTCTCCCTCTTCCGCTGTACAGGCTGGTTGAACAGCACTGTAACTGGATATGGAGTGGGTGCCTCTAGTTGAATCACTCCTGGGAGCGCCACCGGCTAGATCCCCAGAAAGGGCAGAACCGATCGCGCAATCCTATCAATCCAGTAGGGCGGTGAGGCTGTGTATGTGGTGGGGTACCCTTCTCCGCTCTCGAAACGGAATTCCCTCCTTCCAACGCCCATTGGTAACCAGTGGTGCCCTATTGTAAATCAATGCAGAGTGGGCGATGGAAAATCTCTCACCATCTTGCGTCCCAAAACCGAGCAATGTTTGCCTACTCCACCACACCTCGGGGTCAAACATTTGGAAAACGACACTGCTCGAGATCCCGAAGCTTAGCTGGGGAATTCCACCACAGTCTTCGTGTAGCCCTGACTTAGCTCTTTCCGACAACCATCCAAACTAATCCCACAGCGGCCATCTTCTTGGTAAAAAAATACGATTTTTGATAGTACCTCAAAAATGACCCAGCTGCCTTTCTGGCCACAGAACTAAGAGGCTTCTGGAAGCAGGGCAACCACACATTGCGTAGTGATTGGCAACAAGTTGCCAATGAAGGTGACATACATATAGCTGATCAAAATTGCTTCCCACTGGAATAAACTTAATTCGGAAAAAAGTCTGAAAGTGTCCCAGAACTTTTGGGACAACCTAATAATATCGCCTTGCTTCGCACTCCGTTTCATAGATCAGATTTTAATGGGCCCACGATTCTTGAGTGCATTGAAGTTCTCCAGATGATCAGTTTGCATTAGGGTTCTGTAGACCTGTACCCTTTCTAGACCTGGGTACTATTTTCATGGCATCTCCTGGGGTTGGGAAGAATTCTCGTCGAATACCACCCCCTTTAGGTTTTCTTCTCCAGTACGACCGCCTTCCATAACCGACCAATCATCTTACCATACTTTCCTGGAAATTCGCTATTGAGCGGAGGGGAAAGGTTGAGGAGGGGAGGGGAAAAGGAGAAGGGGGACACCCTCGAACAATTAACTATCAGAAACTAGTTTTGCGTGCTACTATTTTGAAAGTGAGCTTGTATATGGCGCGCATGAAGCGAGAGAAATCAACGGTCTGTAAACTTCTTCCGGGGCCAAACGCGCCCCCCCCCCTCCCTTCAGCGTACGAGGTGCCCTGGTTACTGTAGCAAGCTGTCCCCGTACTTATGTAATAAGAGCAAAACCTTTACAGCCTTGCTAAAAGTATGTTCTCATGAAGTGCGCATCGCATAGGCGCCCATCTCATTCTTAATGTGCGAAATGATAATTGAAAGAGTACCATTTTCCCTGGGAATGGGATTTTAAAGGCTCATATAACACTAGTGGTGTTCTATGCAGTACTTCTATGTGGGAAAGAGATAAATATAAGACATCAAAAACCTCCCTTCCCGGGGATTTTCTAAAGCTGGAGCGGCACTTAATGAAGAACTTGTGTGTGGGGGGGGGGATGTGGACGTGATAAATCCCCTTTAGGATGCGCCATGCTTTACAGTTGGACCTCTGGACGTTTTGCGAAAGCGAATTACAGTTTGCGCCGTAAAGCGAATACATCTTCGAGGTTGAAATTGGCGTTGTCCGTCTTGGGAGGGGCATTTCGCGCTTTCGCTAGTTTTTTTACCAGTTTGTGTTAACTAACAGGTATCACTGTGGTGAGACGTGTAAACAGACAAAAGGTATAAGTGAGCCAAGTTAGTCACAAGAATTTACAGTTGTTTGCAAAGTGGCCTGTACAGGTTTCGCAGACCATCTGATGCTCCCACCAAGCCGAATTGTGCCTATTTTTGTTATTGTTTTCCGTTGCATACAACTTGATAATTTTCTTTATGTTTGACTTATGTTTTATTCTGTTTATTTACGCAAATCGATACCGAAGGCAAGCCCACAAGGGAAACTAACTCACCAGTTGATTCTAAAATTTGAAGGCTTCCCCCAAAGTTCTCGAGTGACGGGTGTGTGGCGATTCTATCGTCGATGATAAGTAGGTCGCCGCGCTGGTGGGCGCCGCGTACGAGTCCTGCTGCGTCGTGCTCGTTGAAATTGTTAAAATGATCATCAAGCCATATTGTTTATGTTAATCCTGTACTGCTTGTCCCATTTTCCTATGATGATCAATGATTGTTTTTTCCGCATTCAAAAGTAAAGGGGTGTAAGACTGGTCCCACGTTATTTGTTCAAAATTACTGATCCAATTTTGGGCTTTTCGGAACTTGTGAATACGCGGTCTTCGAGACTCATTTGTATGTCGGTAATGCAACTCCGGAATTGTCGCACCGCGCCGCGCGCGAGACGCCGCGACGCGATGTGCGCGACGTGACCTGACTTGCCGACGATAGAATCGCCCGGGGTCCTCGAGTGACCTCAAGAAAGAGCATGGAGTATAAGCCACAAAACAAAATTAGAAAGCAATATGAAGTTTCTAGAATTCAGCTTTTTCAAAATCTTCTTTCCGACTGTAGACATTACAAATACACAATTAGAATCAACTGTAAACAATAATTGAACAAAACAGGCCAAGCAAGCCTTCTATCCCTCGGGGACCGTGAATTGGTATCAAATACGTCTGAGAGCATGAAAACCTTGACTTTCATATGTCTGGCCCCCGCGAGTCATAGTATAGACCACATCGCATTCAGTAAGCCATAGCGATTCTGAACGGAAGTAGAATTCGCGGCGCATCTCCAGAAGGTATAATCAACGGCAGGAAGCTCAATTTTTCATCCTTTACCGGTCCAATTCTTCCACCCATTTCATGGACTGTAGATTACCGTTTTCAAAATTATTAATAATGACTACCATTGTTTTTACTATCTTCGTTTCTTTTATTTCGTTTACCTCCAGTAAAGCAATAAATAAACCTGGTATTTCAGTGTGGACAAACTATCGCCTAAAACTGCAAGGGCCATGTGAAATGGATCTCACCAGGTAGATCTTTTGGGGTTGTTCAAATAGATTTTCGAGGACCTTACTGATCTCCTTTTCCAGATTTCCATTCGACAACGTCACATGTTCACTAACATTTGAGTCATTTAAGTGAGTGGATTTCCACAAATTGATTTTCTTGCTCACTTTCACGAAAATTTTCAAAATTGTATTCGTTTTTGCCTACTACAATTCCATTGTCATTCAGCTACAACACCGACGAGGTCCAAATGGCTTGGACGCCGACCGGTGTCAGTAAAATGCGCGAGAAAATGGAGTTAGCTGACTACGAATTGGTCGATATCAATAATGTTCGCAACGAAGAGGTTCGTACTCATACGCATAGGGGGATGGTTATTAGGGGATTTTCTGAACAATGCTAACACTCCACTATAACGTTTTTTGCTACATTAGCTACTACTGCAATACAAGCT